GCTAAGGGCTGATCCCTGATGTAACCCCGTCACAACCGGAAAGTGTTCTGAATCTCCTGCCGCTGTCCTCACCCGTGTCTTAGCTCCATCTAACATGTCCTTAATCACTATAATGTAGGCTACATGCACATCTTTTGCGTCTAAATATCTCCATAGAACCTCTCTTGGGACTTTGTCGTATGCTTTCTCTAGGTCAATTAACACCATATGCAAGCCTGCCTTACCCGCGCTCTTCTAGAATTCTATCAGGATCTCGTCTGGCCCGATCGCTCTACCCCTGGTCTATCCTATGCATTGCCCCCTCGACCTCCCCCACACTTATGCGCCTACAGTATCCAAAGTCCCTTTGACTCCCGGAGTGCCCTAGATCACCCAGCACAATATCCCTATCCCCTCATCATTCAAGAGTTTATGGAAGTATGTCTGTCACCTCTGCCTAATATGTGCCTCATCCATCAACACTCAACCCTCCTCGTCTTTTATGCATTTCACTTGATTCAGATCACGGGCCTTCCTTTCTCTTACTTTGGCCAGCCTGTATAGTTTCTTATCTCCGCTCTCTCCCCAAGCTCTTCATACAAACGTCCAAACGCCGCAGTCTTGGCCACCGGAGAGGGAACTATATTAGATGGCTTATTATCTAGTCCAAGTTAACCACCTCCTCTAGAGCATGTGTTAATTATCAAATCTTTGCATTGTGTTGATACTTTCCATAGCTCTATTCCACGCCTCTAGTATCCTAATATATTCAGCTGAAGCATTGGTCTTCCAGTTGTTGCTTCCTTTAGGCTGACTGAGAAATTTTATCAAATGTGAGATATAACTAGGAATACTTGTTTGAGGAACTTATTATGTGAAAGTGGACTCTGGGCCCATAATGCCCAAACAATTTCACCCACCAAAATCCCAGCACATCTGCGAAAGAGAAACCTCTATTATCCTCCCTTATTCTCTCTCTGTCCTTATACTTTCTCCCTAATTTTGTCAACTTGCTTTACCCGCCCTTTGGAATCTTAACCAGGCATCAAGTATTATTCAACAATTTTCTCCTCAGGAAGACCAAAACTGAAAGGAAATGAGCTAAAGTCTGCATAGAATGGTCTCTCTTTCTCAAGATTGGACTGCTAACTCTGTTGTTTGGAAAAAGATCAGCAAATAATCACATTTCATGTACTCTTATACTGAATGCATGAACCTTAGCTTATCTTGAGCATTTTTTAAGAATTTTGCATCTTTTAGAGCAGTTCCTCAATGAGCATAGCTTGAGCAGAAAAAAGAAAAGAAAAGTAGAACCCCTCAGCAAGGACAACGTTGGTGTTAATTTGAGAGCTGTGTTTCCGGAAGGGG